ATGATAGTGATTTAGGCATAGTCTATTTAGCATTCATGCATGTTAAGACTTGTTTATATCTGAGACTTAGTTGAGACTTTCCTCAATCTGCTGTTAATTTTATCAACTCCAGTTAAACACAAATACAGTCTATAGATCCTAATCGCATACATGGATTCAATTATGAAGCCATCTCCCTCTGAGGCACATCCTGAGACAATGGATTTTCTTTCGAGCACTTGGTGCAACTTTGCTGTTCAAGCTCTCCAACCAGACTCGCAAAACCAGCCGATTATTCTCCTAGATAATCCAATCAAGAAAATCGATTGCGACGCCATGAAACCTCCTTTCTCGGTGAGTCAATTTGTAGCATTTTCTATGTTTGCAGTGTTTTATTATTTGAATGTTGTTGGAGTAAAAGACATGAATGAAGGTTTATTTGTTTACCTTGCAGAAGACGGACAATAGTGTCAAAATGGATGATGCCTTCAAGTCTCTGCCACCATGGAAATCCAATGATATGAAGGTAGGCGCACTACAGCAGTAGTATAGTGGTTATGATCAATGTTTATCATTTAGTTGAATTTATCCAAACCAAATTCATTGCTTTATTTCTTCGGTTTTTTGCTTACAGTCATGGATATGGATGCAACAAGCAATGCATCCTGAACTGAACTACAACAGTTGTTTCCGCAAGAAATGGGTGCACAATCTTGTTCTCATTAACTTGAGCTTTTTTTAATAAGCTATAAAAACACATACCAAAGAAATTAATCTAAAAAATTCTTAATGCAGTTCCCATGGAAAAATATACTGCCCTTTAAGACCATTTCAATAAAGAAATGGTTGAAAGAGATAAAGCTGAAGCGAAAAGAAGAAGAGAGGCTACAAAAAGCTGAAGTACATGCAGCTATATCAGTAGCGGGAGTAGCTGCTGCCTTAGCTGCAATTGCTGCTGAGAATTCTAAGAAAGATGAATCCAGCACTGCCAAGGAGGCTGCCATAGCCTCTGCTGCTGCTTTGGTTGCAGCTAAATGCGCACAAGTCGCAGAAGCAATGGGGGCAAAGAGAGAGCAGCTTAGCAGTGTCATAGGTTCAGCCATGAGTGGCACCAATGCAAGTGACATAGTAACACTCACAGCTGCTGCAACAACTTGTAAGTTCCTTAAATTATTTTTCTGTAGAAATATGAGTGCTTTTAATTCACTTGATAATAGAAAGATTTTTTTCTTTTTGGGCAAATAGAGCTATAATTGGGCTCTTGGGTTTAGATAACTAGATTGGCCTCACAATTAGGCCATAGCAACAAAAACATGCTAACCCAGAGAGTTTTGTTCACTTACTTCCCTAGTTGTGTGCTTTTGGTTACAATTGTTTATAGCATTGAAAGGAGCTGCTACCCTTAAAGCAAGAACAGGATGCAAGAACAGACTAAATGCACCAGTTCTCCCTTTAGAGGATAACAATGACATTGATTTTGACTTTGAGAAGTGTAGATCAGTACTTGCCAATGGAACAGAGCTCCATGTTGAAACACCTGATGGTATGTTGGAAAAGTCACTACTGGAATGTTAGCTAGTTTAAATAGTAAAATCATTTGGCATTTTGCTTGATTATAAATTTTTGTGTGAACAGGAAATTTCAGGGTGAGATCTGTGTCTATCATCCTTAGCAGCAAAGCCAAGGTTTGACTAATATTCTAGTCTTACTTCAGATTCTGCAATGCATTAATCATCAGAGGTCATTATAGTTCACAAGACATCATCATGCATGGACAGTTGAGATTAAATAGTCAATCATCCATAACATTTCTTTAAACTAGAAGTTTATGTAAATTTTTCTCTGTTGTAATCTTAACCATTGATCCTTGAATTAATTATACAGGTTATTCTTAAGTTGAGGAAGCTCAATATCCTGAAAGGCAAGAAGGAAAGTAGGTTATACTATTCCTGCTCTCGATTTTTCCTTTCATTCACTTAATCTTAAATAGTACATGTAGCACTAAGCTTTTTTTCTAAATACAGAACAGAGAATTAACCATTATGAGTACCATAAATATGCTTCAGGTATTGTACTGGACTTGCATGCTGAGTTGTACAAAGATTCAGAAGCTGATCGAGAGACTGATCATACATGTTATCTTATCGTGTTAACAACCAATATGGGGATAATCAAGCTAGATATGGGGGATGATTATCATCGTTACAAGACTTGGGCCACAACCATTAATCACATGCTCATGCTCTCTACTTCTTATGCAAACTATGGGCTTCAATTCTATGAACACTGAAGCTGCTAATCTACTCTGTTGTGCCAGGTCGATTTGCATATTTTGTACTTTTACTATGTAATTATTATCAATTACATTATATTTTTTGTTTAATACATATAAATAAAAACTGTTTCAGGGATATCATAATCTAAGGTATTGTATGTCCAAAACATTGTTAGTCAAATGGTGTAAGCGATTAATCAGAGAAGAACATAGCTGTCTCAAGGTCTATCTTAGGTAATAGTTTTGCAACCAGAACTTAATACCAAAATAATAATCAAGTCATGGTGGATCAAAACAAGATACATGAGAAACATCACTGTACATAAATCATGCGTTAAAGCACACCAGATATGATTGAAAAATATGAAGTGACTGCAGGTCATGATTTAGAGGGGGGTAATGGTAGAAATAATGTCTTTGTATGTCTTAAATCTTCTCATATTGATTAAAGCAATATGTCCCTCAAAGGGCTGGAAGGTATGGACATGATGGACCTAAGATCATTTAGCTACTGAAAAGCAAGGGCAAAGATTAGCTTTCGAAAACAGTGAGAAAAGTCTTGAAGTGGAGGAGATGGGGGCGATGGGGCTTCGAGGGAAGAACAGATTTATACTTGGGTCAGAGATAGAAACTAACAGGCCTAAAGAAAAAGCTGGAATGGGAAGATGGGTTTCTAATTGATCTCTTGACATGCCTCGATTCTGAGTGAATCAACTAACTATAACAAACGCAGCAGAGCATAACATGGGTGGTCTTGCTTCCTTGAACTTACACAAGCATAACCAACAAAACATAACTTGATTCACCATAGTAACAAAGAAGTTGCAACAAATGCTATTGCAGTTATTATGATGTCCACAAACTTCAAGAAGAAGTGTCTGACAAAAATTACACTGGCAAGTGGCATCTAACAGCTGAATTTGTGAAAGTTACACTTGGAATTGGCACTTACATATTATAGTGTTACTGATATGCCAATGCCACGAAGCAACTCAATCTAATTAATCTCATAAACCTCTAGGAGACACTTAAGAATATGGACTTGCAATTTTAGTTTCATAATATGATCAATAGACTTCTGAAACAAAGTTTCAACATCAGCCTCTTCACAACCAGGAATCATTTTCTGCAAAGTAGAAATATTTCTTTTCAAAGAAAACTTAAGCAACTTCACCTTCTTTTTGGCTATCAAATGGCCCTTTTTCACCTTCATGTCTCTTTTATTCATGGATATCTAGCACGCAAGCACGTCTAGTGATGAAGGAAATCCTAAAGGTCAAGATATTTGTGAGACTTTAAGACCTATGGGATAAAGCAGGTTTATATAGATGAGCTTCACTCGCTTTGGACAGTGGTGTAAAGGAGTATGGGGGAGATATGGAGCAAAGCTTGTCGAGGTCCGTTACATTTTGTCATGTTGTGATTTCTATTTACACATTTTAAACATACTCTAAGCTTTTGTTCCTAAAAATCACAAATAGAAAATGCTAGTAAACTTCACGGAGCGTATTGATTTTGTTTGCCTCCAGACACTTTTTTTGGCAGCTAATGCTGTAGACAAGAAAGCGTGGCAAACAATCACATGAATTGAAATTCTCACATTGAAGTTGACTTATAAACACAATTTTATTTCTGTATAAAGGTTTTAATATTCCCCACTGATGCTGTGAGTGTTCTCATACGAGTCATACAAGTCCTGGTTCATGTTAAATTATCAAAATAAAACTTTCCTCGACCGTCTGAGGCTGCTTAAACCACTTCAATTTAAGTATCTAATATGCTCAAAATCCCTTTCAAGTAATAATGCTCAGCTATGGTTACTGTTATTCCATCTGCTTACTGGTTGAGTGGAAATGTGGAAGGAATATTTGGAGCGACCATAAGGCATGGGCCTTCAAGGAATATTTCATGCAAAGGACCTTTCGAGGAACATGAAGTTGAGAGGACCAATTTGTACTTAATTTGGTATGTGGATGCTTCTGTAATTCTAGCTTACCTCTCATTCCCATTTCTCGTTCTGAAATTCTATTTCATTTCCGTTTATCCATGTAAACAATGAAGTTGCAATAAAGAGCACATTGTCAGTATAAACCAACCAAACCAACCGACAAATCAGTCTTTGTTCTCCTGTAAATTGTCTACATCCCGCTCCAGCCAGAAAGTCTCAGTGATGCTGGCTGGTTTATTTCTTGCTACCATAATAGGTGTACAGTAAATTTAACAAATCCAACTTTTCTTAAGAAAATTGGCACCTATATAAAATAAACTGACCCATAACTGTAGAGCCTATGCCTGCAATTACATTCATGAACCTCTTGTTCCAAGATGTGGTCCTTGCAACTTTATTTTCCCTCTCTTTAGGAACCTAATCTAGCTGCAAATGGGCTCATTCCACTCCACCCACCAACAAGACTTGACATTGGTTTTCAGGGCTGCCATGATATAATCATTATGGGCAAAATCCAACTCAAACTTTCATGGAAAAAATAGTGGAGATTCAAAGAATGTGAGCTATACCCAGTCAAGTTTGCCAACTTGCATAGGCGATACTATTGACATTTTATTTGGAGTTCACTGCTTCAAGATTGACAGATGAAATAACGGCATTTATCTAAAAATCTATAGAACTGTGCTAACTCCTAACTGATTAGACACATCACAGAATCCACATTCACAATGCTTTGAATAATGCCAGATAGAAAAATCAATTCCCATTCCCGTAAATGAATATTTAACGTTTTACCTGAAAGAAAGGACCGTGATATTTTTTTTCCTGATTTCACTTCGGATTATGTAATGACGTCACCACAAATGTGACTTCAGGTCATTATAGAATTAACAAATTTCCAATTGAGGTAGCAGAGATCAAGACTAGTTGAAATCAGAAGGTCTTTGCCGAAAGGAAACAATTATTACAAATCCTCTTTTCTTAACCACAGGAGCTTGCAAGAAAATGGCATATGAATAACAGTTACTTTAAATGCAAAAATTATATTTTTAGCTGAGCTGTCTCCCCACATAATTCGACTGCTCAATTGTTAACTTCTAAGTGATACCAATCAAGGATCATGATGATGCGTTAGGATAATGTTTCTTCAAACATCATGGCACTGTGGTATGACAATGACAATCACTACATAGATTTTAAAATAAGAACATATCAATGCACACCATACCAACTACAAAAATTCCCTTCAAGAGAGGAAGTATGCTCCATAGATCAAAAGTGACAGAAGTATTTCTACAACAAAATAATCTTGGGAAAGAAAAGGGACAAAATTATCAGAAACCTGTGAATTGGATATGACTGACTGCACAAAAAATAGAACAATTACCACTAGTTAGCCAAAGCATATACAACCACTGATGCTTGAAGATCACGGTCCACCTTGAAGTGGGCATGGAAAAACCTTCTTATCTGCCATTATATTTTAAACTTAGCTACAAAGAAGATATGGTAACACTGAAAGCAAAACTATATATTGACATAGGTTCCGCATGTACCTCTGTGAAAGAATGTGAAATCAGAAAATCTCTCAACAACTTCTCCTCAGAAGCAAATAATACAACATGACTAGGCAAAGACCCGTTTGTCATCAGTGTGGATACAAAGCTAACAGGATCCATCATGAAGTGGTCTGACTCATCTGGGATTCCTTTCTCTTCACTGTTGAATGAGATATCAGACCATAATTAAGAACTTTTAACAATAGCTTTTCAAGAAATATACTCTAAACCAAATTGCTAAACTCCAAACCTTGGAGAACAATCCAGAATACGCATTGGCAGATCATAATGCAGTGTGGAGTAGAAAGGAGTGGCATGGCAGGGCATTAGAAACAGGATACCCTTTACTTTCTCATTTTGCGCTTCCTTGGATAGAAAAATCATGACATCCTCAGTTCCTCTCTGTCTAGCATAATCACATGTAAGATCAACAGAAGAAATTTGGGGGGGGGGGGGGGGGGGGGGGGGGGTTCTCTTTTGATTGATTATTCCTAGAAATACCGTCAGTTTTTTTTTTTTCTTAAATGCATCCATTTTCTTTGAGAGCTCCCTACCATTCGTTCTTTTTTCTTTCTCAGGGTTGATAGATAGCATTTTCCCATTTTATTTCTCAACTAAATTTGAGAAGATAAAATAACCAAAAAGCAAAAACAGGAATAACATCAAAGCAATAAGCCACATTAAAAGCTCAGCTGTTGAAGTGGACAAGGCTTCTGATCAGCCTTGTATTTGGTAAAGTTGAGGAGGTATCTCACATACCTGATGAACCAAGCTCATGTACAAGGCCATTGGAATGTTAGTGGCAAGCAAGACAAAGATGGCAAATCCCACTTTTGAGGGCCTTTTCATGCGACTGTTAGGAGAACCTTTTCTTCTACTATCAGAATCAGATTTTGCCATAACAGATAACGAATATCCAGAGAACATCAAAGCTATAGGGAGCATAGGCAAGACAAACCTGTAACTCAGTTTATTAGAGGATAAGCTAATTTAGAAACATGAGCCAATCAGTTTCCATACAAAACAAGGACGCAAAGAAAAAAAAGGTAAAAATGCCAAATAGAGAGTACCTGAATTCTTTATGCCCCTGAATACTGTAAACAATTAAAACCCATGCAATGAGTCCAGAGAGCTTCCAGTATTTAGACTTTATGCTGCCAGCAATTGAAAATGGTAAGAATGTGAAGAGCATCACTGTAAATCCTTGAGAGAAGTACCAGTGCCACTTGTGAGTTCCATAATAATCTCCACCAGATGAAAGAAAATTGAACTTGAGAAAATTAAGAGGTACAATGACCCATGAGCCATACATCAAACGATCCAATAAACATGAAAGCGCAAGCACGAAAGCCCTGATGATAGACAAAATTGTAAGTAAAACAACAATATAACCATACAGAATAGAAATTAGAGCAAAAAAATTGAGATGAATCCGTGCAATTTACACTGTATTCTAAAGCACTAACTGCAGTTCAATGCATTGTTTTCCCCTTCCTTGCTATTGTCATGAAGTAGGTTTAATCCAGCTACATTTAGTATGGCATTAGAAGGGATTATTGATCCCCTCAAAAGTTCCAAACAAAGCAGCTCACCAAATGCGAGAAAACTAACAAAGAAGTAACCAACTAAACAGAACCAGACATTAAGTTCTGAAACTAAAATGCAGCATTTTCCAACAAATCATGTCTTGTATTGTGCAATGTCAGGGAATTTGATGCAATTCAATTGAACAAGAAAAATATTTTAAAGTGTATTTTTATGATGTTCATTCAACTCCATTGTTAAGAATATCTCAAAGGGCATGTTTCCTCAATGCTAGAAGAGAGGGTAATATTTTTGCTAGAGATAGATGGATATTGCCCAACCATAAAAATGACAATTACAGGTAGCTTCTCAAGATCAAATATTCATTAAATCCATGAGTTTTATTTGCTAACAGCTAATGGTAGCAGAAGTAAAGGCAATTGCATCGGTAGTGGTAACACTAATGGCAATTGAACAAAATGTCTTAAACCTATGTCTTAATGGTAGCTACCAGGACTCTTAAGTGTTGCACCCAAGTAAGGCATGTTGAGTGGCCTCCTTTTGATATTGAACAAATATCCACTGGCAGATGTGACTGGCTGTGTAATCTCCAAGATTCGCAAGCATCTGGAGCAAAGCCCCATACTGTCTCTTTAGGAGCCTGGACATGTGAATTAATAAATGCATGCAAAAAACCTAGAATGTGTAATGCTCAACACCTATTGTATGCATCAGATAGCATTGTCAAGGGTCAGGCAGACTATCAGAAAAAGTCCTCAGTGATTTAGATGATAAATTCAAGAAATAGAAATGGGGGGCATTGGCAATTTTCACTGCCTATAAGAAGAGACTCATAAACCAATTAGATGGATTTGCAGACATAAAGTGCACCAGTAATTACAGTCTAAGTCTTTGTAGAGAAATTACTTTCATGTTCATGCCTTACAAGCAAAACTGAGATGAACCACCATTAAAAAATAAAATCCCTCTCCCTTGTTCCAGCATAGAAATCAAGTTTCAACAACTAGGTTTCTGACATCACCCTATTGCTATGTTAAATGTTGCAATCATCAAATCATAACTTCCTCATATTACTTGTATTTAATTCCAAAACATTTGGATCATGACTAGTCATGCCACAAAATCAAATTAATAACATTACAAAGCAGGGAAAAAATAATTCTTAAAGACATTCAAAAATTATATGTAGCATGTTAATGAATTCTAGACAAGAGGAAATAAGGAAAGAAACATGACGAACTCCAGACAAGAGGAAATGAGGAAAGAAACATGACCTACCCAATGGGGACCACCTCCAGAGCAAGGAATTTTAATCTATCACGTGTTACAGCCAGCTCAAGAAGGCCAACATAGACCCATGTAATAGCACTTGTTGGCCGGATTGCACAAGCTAATGCTGCTATAGTCAAACCCCACTTCCTTAAAGCCAGGGGAACTTTGCTGGGAGAAGCTCTCATACAGGGCCAGTAGTATAATCCGACCAGTGTAAGAACTGTTTCCAAACTATTTGACAATGTACGGTTGAAGCAGAAAAACATGAACCAGTTTGCCAATTGAGAAAAAAGCTGTAATGGTTAAGTCCATCATCTTTCACACGCATGATTGTTACCCACAATAATAACAGACCAGCAGTTTCAAGTTTAAAATGAAAACAAAACATTTCATTTATTAGTCAAAGTTTAATCTGTAAGAAAAAAGAAAAAGGATACTGCCCATTTTGCCACAAAATTGCCAAAGATAGCATTTGAAAGTTTGTAGAAATATAAATCACCAACTGCAGAAAACAGGGCTTGCAGCAACCGTGGTGCGTGTGCCTACAAAGCATCAGACATGAGAGATACATTGACAACTGCTGAATACCGCTTCAAAATGCAACAGACAAGCACCATTATTACAAGCACCTGTTGGTTGTTTAAAAATGAATATGAAAAGAAGAAAAGTTACCCATTTTTATGCTACTCTTCATATCAAGAGGGCATGCATTTATTTGGTAAAAGTAAGATTCAATTTATTAATTAACTCAATAGCATTACAGTCTCAGGCTTCAAGCATGCAATTAGAGATAGTTAAAGTTAATCAGGAAAAGAGAGAAATTGTTAAACATTACTGGTTATTTGAAACAAATTTCTGCAAGATAATTTCTCCAGCAACTCTGTCCTAACAATCATGGGCTTAATCCACAACCACGTCTAAATCATATAAAAATGATGGTTGTCACCATGTCAGCTCTTCAACCATTGTTATGATGCACCATAAATAGCTTCAGGAAAAAAATCACACGGGTTTCACCATCTCCTTCAAATAATAATAACAATAATCTTCTATTTCATGAGAAGCTGCAAGCATTCATATATAATTTTCCTATAGTCCTCAAGCTCACCAAGGTCAAAAAAAAGTGTACAACAGCATTCCAGACCCTTCACCTCACAGACTTGCCAGGAAAAAATTCTTTTAGAGCTTTATACTAATCACACCCTAATTCCTTTAGTTTTCAACATCTTTAAAAAATCAAAACATTTCTAATTTAAATCCATGATCACTTCTTGATGGTGGTGGTCATCAAAATATTGAATGGCCTTCATCTTACTTCCTATTGAGTCTAGTTTAACCCTCAAACCTCTTACTATAGGCATTACAGAAAATGGTAGTTCAAACCACTCGATGCCTAAAGTCTCACAAACGAATTTGAAATAACCGTGATTATCCCTTGAAGATTGCTTCGCAAAAATGTATCTTATTCAAACTTAACCAAGAAAACAGTACCGAAATAATAAAAATCATATTAATCATGAAAACAAACCGAAAGCTATATTTACCATGAACCATGGAGTATCAAGACCAAACAGTGCAAGAACTTTGTACAGCACAGCAAACACCAACGGATGGAAATAGCTACGAATCTCCTTCCTCCATTCCCATGTCAGATGACCATACCTGCCATTTTAAAAACATTTTAGTTATCACAACTTCCTTTATACCACTTTCACTACTTCCAAACCAAAATCAAAACTCTCTCTAAACTTTGTTTCCATATGAAACAAAACGAAAAAAGTTTATAACTTCAAACTCAAACACTTACTTCAGCTATAAAGAGCAAAAGGGTACTTTCAAAATTCAACTTGAATGCCGAAAAAACAGAAGAGCGCTTCCAAAATAGCATAAAGTTTAAAGCTTTCCCTCACTGCACTAATATTTGGCCACAAGAAAAGGGCAGTTCCCAAATTGAATAGAGAATGAGAGTATTTACCCAAATACAATTCGATGGGCAACTTCAAGGGCTTGCCAGTGCTCATCTGGATTGAAATAAGTTTGAATCAACAGCGAATTGGCAATTCGGAATGCCAAACAGAGTGTAAAGATGTTCTTTTCAGACGAAAAGAAATTGGACTTCTGGGATGTGTATACTTTGTGTTTGGAGACATCAGGGTTTTTGTTTATTAAGGGTGTAGTGGGTTGTGATTTAGATGATGCATTTCGTCTCTGATTCATTCTTCACGAAATTAGCAGTGAGAGAACTGAAAATCAATCATAATTCGCGTCTACTTACGCTGTTACATGCCATGTCGAAAAGGCCAGTTAGGTGTCTAATCATTAAACTAACTACAAAGCAGTCCTTAAGCTATTATTTATATTTCAAAACAGTCCAGAATTATACCAGCAGACTTCAACTTGCAGCGACCTTTTGGGTTGTTTTTCAAATAATTTTTTATATTAAAATATATATTAATAATAATTTTTATTTTTAAAAAAATTATTTTTGATATTAATACATTAAAATAATTTAAAAACACTAAAAATATATTAATTTAAAACTAATAAAAAAATTAAATTTTTATAAAAGTGCTTTTAAAACATATAAATAAATAGGGTATTCTGTCCATGTGCTTTCATACGAGAGAATAGTAACATACCCCTCCATTAATTATATTTAAAACTTGTATAGATTTTTATTAATTTATATTTATTTTTATTAATTTAAATGAAAATAATAAAATTTAAATGGATGATTTTTTAGTTAATTATAATATATATTAAATAATTATTTTAATTAAATAATTTAATCCTTAAATGAGATTTTAAAAATAATTTTATATTACTATTTAATATTATACTTCTCCAACAACACCTTGCCTATAGAATGATTGAGGAAGTTGTATGTCAACTATTTCTTGATTAATTTCTTGTAAATCTATTACTTAATATCTGACTAGCCTAACAGAATAACTTAGAAAGTTGGTGGTTAGAATTTAGTCCAGATTAGATCAAAGAAGAAATATGTTTTTTTAAATAATATTATTATAATTTTTTAAAATAAAAAAATGAATTGATTTATATTTAATGTAGCCGCATCTTATAATTATGATATTAATTACTCACTCATCAATTCATTAAGTTAAATTTTCTCCAAAAAAATAATTTTTTATAATAACATAGCTTTTTATAAAAAAAACAAAAAAGGTTTCTTATATTCAATTTCACTATTAAAAAAACGTTATGTACTCTTGGTTTTACTTTAAAATATTCATATCTACACCACAAATGATATATAATATATAAGTCAATGCTGGTCAAAACTTTAGACGTGAAAATATTTTGTAATTATACTCTTATTTTTTTAATGTAATTTTCTCATACACAAACTGTTTTTATAAATCCTATAAAGTTTTTGTCTAATTTTATTCTACTGGGTGTAATGTATCGAAAATATGTGTCAATATATATATATGGTATTTTATAAAATCAAAAATATATAAAAAGAATGTGTAAATTTAGCAAATGGGAAAAATATAAAAAAGATAAAATTTAAATACTAAAAAATTAAAATTTTTGAAATGAAAGGCGTATACTTTTCCCAGTGATTTTAAATTTGATTTATTCAATATTATTTTTATTAATTTATGAATATTTTATCAATATCAATTTAATTTCTAATATTAAAAGATGCAGCATTTTCCCCTTGTTTTTCTTCTTTTGATTGCATTCAAAACATTTCCTTTTTATTTTTGTAAAATGAAACAAGGAAATATCTTACCATTTGGAATACAGTTATTTATTTATATTTTTACCTAACTTAATAATTTTTCTTAACCAAGTATCGCTGTAGACTTAACTAGGGATTTATAATGGGTGATAAAATTGCAAGAAATTGTGGCTTAGGACTTGTTTGATATTTATATTAGAATTGGATGGCTGACTTGCGCTAATTACTTGAGATGTGAAGTGCACCATTCTCACATAAAGTATTTATATTGTACGAAAAATCTTATGATACTTAAAGCTGTAATCATCAATATAATACTTACCAAAAAAAAAATAATCATCAATATAAAATTAAATGTGATTTTTTCTTTACTTTGTTACATCAAACTTCTTTCTTATCAAGTAAATACTAATAATTACCCTGTGAACACCATAAAATTCTTCATGTGCACCTGGTTTTGCTTGTAGTGAAATGGTACGTGAAAGCAATGATTGAAGAGCATCAAGATCACGAAGAAAGATGGCGAAATGGTTCGGCCTTCAAGATTATCACTGTATCTGGAGTGTGCGTGTGTGCGCGCGCGCGTGTGTTCTCCTGGTTTGCAGGTCTTCCCATAAGAAAATGTCGTCCTTTGTTCTGGTAATTTCTCTGTCCGAGTTGGATTACATTACATCACACAGTTCGGGTTATTGCCTCTTGTACAATGTGTGGTGGTGTGCTGCTGCCGCCGCCGCCGCTTATTTTCCTTCAATTATAACCAGTTACGAATGGTGTACTGGCGTAGCAATTGCTATGTCAGCCTATCGGTTGTCATTGCTCCACCAGCACTTTTTTTTTTCCCTAATTTTTACTGCTGAAATGTTAATTAACCAATTCATAGTGCTAAAAAAAGAAGAATAAATTTGGTCAAACTTGCTTCCTGTCCAGGGACTATTACAGATTTTCTGCTAAAAAATCGCTGAACACCTGACCAGCTGACCTGCATTCCAGGAGCTGAAAGCAATTAGGCTTTGGTTTTCCTTCAATATTTCATTGGAAGACCTGCCGTGCAACAATTTTCCTACTCTTGATTTTCCCCTGCTGCCGGTTTTTTTGCTTTTTCATAATTACCATTAGTGACCATCTCTATCTTTCTCTACTAGGAAAACAAAAATATAACCAGGTGTGGAAGCAAGCGAAGCGCTTGTGGCAATATGGATCCCTTGAAACTGTCAAATGTAATCGTCAATTCAACTGGGGAATTTCTTGGATCGGTCACTTGTTTCACTCTACCTCCAAAGGTAAATTCACCTGGATTGGAAGAGTACTTGGTCAACAGCAAATTTGAACCATTGAGTTATACATTGCCAAATCTGGAGGTGCTCATGGCGGCGGTATTTGGTATCACCCAGGTCTTGAATTTTGCGTTCAGAAGAATAGGAGTGCCATTGCTAATTTCACAGATTCTTGTAAGCTAGATCTATTGTTTGAGTTCACATGCGTGTACTGATTCTATTTAATAACACGCTGTAATGCTTTTTGGCTAATACAGGCAGGCCTGATTTTTAATCCAGCAGTGCTTCCTCATAGTGTTTCAAATGTTCTATTTTCAAGGGCAGGTGTAGAAAATCTTGTTACTGTAGCAACAATGGGCTACCAGTTGTTTATGTTTCAAAGTGGAGTAAAAATGGATATGGAGATGTTAAGAAATGTAGAGGGAAAGGTCTTACTTCTTGGTGTTTCTTGCGTATTATTACCACTTCTACTCGGTCTAGCAACCTTAACAGTTATGACCAAGCAAGAGTATTTAATGAATTTCTTTATTGCAACAGTGTATTCGATGTCTTCATTTCCTGTGATAGTTAGCCTTCTCCATGAGCTAAAACTTCTAAACTCACAACTCGGCCGGTTAGTACTGTCAACAGCGCTAGTTAGTGACCTTGTTGGCCTTATGCTTCTAATTGTTTCATCTTTGCTGAGAGCAGCAGACCAGCTCAATGAAACCGGAGATGGTGTAATAGGGGTGCTTGTTTTCATCCTTATTGTTGCATTGATTCTTAGACCAGCATTGAATCTTCTAGCAAGAAAGATGTGTGATAGCCTGAAGGAATTGTACGTTTACTTCATCATTTCACTGTTCCTGGGTTCTGTGTTGCTTTCACATATTAATGGATTGGCTGTTTTTTATGGGCCCTTTATTGTTGGTCTAGCTGTGCCATCTGGACCGCCACTGGGATCTTCTGTTCTGGAGAAGTTCGAAGCAATTACAGGTTACATCCTTGCAATTTTTGTCACATCATGTGGCATGAGGGTGGATTTTGCAAACACAAAATTTGACGAGATCAAGTTATCAATCGCTGCAGTTGCTCTTACTGTAATTACCTCGGCCAAATTCTTGGTGTGTTACGTTTCACATTCTTTCTTTTGGGAATCGCCAACAAAAAATGGTGCTGCCTTTGCCCTCATAATGTGTGCGAAAGGCGTCGTTGAGTTGGCCTTGTACAGTTTCTTGGATGATGCTCAGGTGACTACTAGTAACCAATCCATGCTAGACATTCATATATTTTAATCTTGCAACAAGGCTTAAACTAATGTTCCATCTTCATTTTACCCTACCGACAAATGCAGGCAATAATGGATGATGCTTTCATTTTCATGGTTGGTACAGTCATCGTCTTTGGCAGCGTTGTCCCAATTCTTGTGAGAAGGCTATACAATCCTGAAAAGAGATATCTAGGATGCCTGAAAAGGAATCTCATAGAGTCCAGGCAAAATTCAGAGCTGCAAATTATTTCTTGTATCCATGCACCAGGAGATGTGAATGCGATAATAAATCTTCTTGATGCCTCCTGTGGTGGAGATAGCCCTATTGCGGTTACAGTGCTTCACCACATCAAGCTTGTCGGGCAATCTACTCCTCTCTTCATTTCCCACCGAAAGGGGAGGGTAATAGTCTGTGATTATTTACATTCAATCAACGTCATTCGTTTGTTCAACGAATTCGAGCAAAACAGTCGTGGATCGTTATCGGTGAATGCAGTCACTGCGGTCTCTCTACCGAAATTCATGCATGATGATATTTTCCCACTGGCAGTGGAGAAGCTCGCATCTCTTATAATACTTCCATTTCACATTAGATGGTGGAAACAAGATGGTTCAATTCAATCAGAGGACCACAGCCTAAGGGAATTGAATAACAGGGTCCTTGAAAAGGCACCTTGCTCTGTAGGGATACTAGTTGATAGATGCAGTAACCGGCGGCTAGTCTACAAAGAAGATGCGCTAGCAGTAATCAATGTTGCTATGATCTTCTTGGGAGGTGATGATGATAGAGAAGCCTTAACTTTTGCTATTCGCATGGCACAAGACACCAGGGTTAACTTGTGTGTGGCACATCTCCTTCCATCAAACTTGAACGAACTGGAAGCAAAACGAGATAATGTGGCTTTGAAGGGAGTGAAGGAAAAGGATCACATTACGTTTGGAGAAGAAGTGGTTGATGGAGCAGCAAAAACTGTTTCACTTGTTAGATCCATGGTGCATGAATACGAGCTCATAATTGTGGGTAGAAGAGACAACTTGGATGGCATTACCCCACAGACAAGTGGTCTGAGACAATGGTGTGAGTATCCGGAGCTGGGGCTAATAGGAGACCTCATCATATCGGAAGACACCAAGGCAGACTGTTCCTTATTTGTAGTTGAGCAGGCACGAGAACAAGAAGAAGAATAGCAACAACAAATGCCTTCGTAAAAGCAAACTAGGGTGCATCTTATAGTTGCAGCGGTGTTTAAAACTTTTTGTAATTTTTGGCAGTAGAGATTATTTTTTAAAATATTTTTTATTTTAAAGTATATTAAAATAATATTTTTTTATTTTTTAAAATTTATTTTTGACATCAAATTATTAAAAAATATTAAAAAAATTAAAATTTAATAAAAAATCATTTTAACCACAACCTCAGACAGATTTATATTAGATTTCCAGGTAACTTCTTTCTTTTATTTTTATGAATGAAAATCATTATCAAAAGAAACTGAAAGGGCAAAGCCCAATACATGAGTACAGAGAGGCCACAGCCTGCTAAGACTTAAGGTGCTCACTAAACACCAACTACTGCAAATAGAACGAAATCTCAGATTTCTAATAGCTTTCTGCAGAATTCTAGTTTGAAAAAGTTCATAGATAACAACTTGATCGACCCATTTCGCCATAAACCCCTGGGGATTACAATCATTGTCATGGATCCTACCATTATGCTCCTTCTATATAGCGTAGACAGCAGCATTCCATGCTAGTCTCAACAGAACAGAGATAAAGCATTTCGAGGTAACTTCATAGATTCATTTGTTGTTGGAATCGGATTTCCTGCGCCTGGTAATGGGAGGTTATTCTCTAGAAATGGTACAGTGCAGCTGGAAGGATTCAAAGACGTTGGCTTGTCTTTGCATAAAGAGGTTTTCCGAATAGTAGTAGTAGTACTATTATCTTATTATTATAAGAAAGATAATTTGACGATGAAGGGAGTGAAGATTGAAGAGCAGCAAATAACTCTTTTTAAGAATGCATGGTCGCATTCTGATGAAGGATTTGGAGGACGTCGATGGCTCATCTGGTTTTAATTCATTCTGTTTCCAGAATTCATTTTTTCGGTTTGTATGCTTCTTGGATTACCAAAGGCTTATCTTTCCCTTTCCATGATGATTCCGTATGGATATGTTTTTTGTGGAAACAAATTGAAGTGCTTACTACAAAACATTGATGAAGGCTCAAGCTCCGGTTTTCCTTTGAAAATTGATGTGGGAGCATTTGATGATCAGGGTGGCAACAAGGATGCTCACTGGAACCTTAAGACAAGAGGCAAATCCAGGTCATTGAGTTCGAGCTCACATACTCGTCTTTATTTGACAGCTTGACTGGAACTTCTAAACTTCTAAACTCTGAACTTCGCCGACAGGGACGATCAACTGCCCTAGTCAGCAATGTATTATTTTGTTAAATAGTGATATAAAATTATTTTTTAGAGATAATGCTTTTAAGTTTAGATAGACTTTTTATATTATATTAAAATCTTAATAATCAAGTTTTAATGACTTTAAATCTTATCATTTTATTTTATAAAATTAAATTAATAAGATTAAATACAAAGTAGTAATGAGTTTATAGAAGTTTGAAATCCAATAAATTTTATTTATAAAAATTTATTAAAATTAATATAAAATTATTATTAAAACCTCACTTAATAACTTAAATTTTCAAATTAAAATAGTTTTTTGACACATTTATCTCATTATTTTGTTATTTTTGGATCTCTATTCTTAACCAACTAAACCTTATAAGAAAAAAAACAAAAAACAAGAAAAATAAAATTTCATATAAAGGAATCTTAAATACAAGAATCCCAATGGGATTTTTATTATTAAGTATATTTTAATAGGTTAATAATTGACCTTTACAAGGAAAAAAATGGGGTTCTAAATTAAATAAAAAATAACATAAAATAAATTTTAAAATTAAACTAGAAACTCAAAAAATAAAATGAAAATATCAAAACCGATTCAAAGAATATATTTTGAGACTAATTTGAAGTCCTATAAAATTGAGCTTGTACAATCTCCTCATTAAATTTGATAACAATCCAACGATTAAATAAAAATTTATAAGTTTTTTTCCATTTAACTAGTTATTTGGCCTATCCAAATTGTTTTTGAAACTTGACTCTATCATTGGACCTATAAATGTATTTGTTAGGTTATTTATAGATTCTAAATTTATATCTTATTGATTAAAAACATGTAACAACTCCTTTCACATTATTATAAAATGTTTGTTATTTATACTTTTTATATTGATAATCTTAGATATTCCCGTTGAACCTCCATTAGAGGATGCATTTGTAGAGAAGTTAGAAGTAGTTTTTGGGATGTTCCTTCTACTTTTTGTCATGATTTATGGTATAAGGTTGGACTTCTTGAAAACTCACTACGATATAAAAACCTAGTAACATGCATTATTACTTTACTTATTATAATTATCTTATTTAAATTATTAGTATATTTCATGTCACACTGATACTTCTAAAAATCACCATCAAATATTGATGTTGTTTTTCCTCTCATAATGTGTTCCAGATGAGTAGTTGAGTTAACTTTTTATACTTTTTTAAATGATACGCAGGTTATTATATTGAAGATTCTATAAATAATTCCAAGTTAGTATACTTCCATAGATAGATTAATCGTAATACTTCTTCTAGATTAGAGTTATGCTCTATTGGCTTATAAATTTATAGTCCTAAACTCTAGCATTTTAGTTCCATACAATGTCTATTTATGCCCACAATATTGAAGAGAAATGTATGAATGAATAATACAAAATTTTAACTTGATATCAAAGCTTTTTAAAAACCTCCATTGAAACATAAGCCTCTCTTACTATTTTTTTAGCAATAATTGCAAAAAACAACTATAATCATAATCCTCTACTTTCAAACTATCAACCCCAATTATTTATATCTAATATAAAAAATTTATTTTTCATGTCAGAGTTGTCATCACCGAAACTAACTATGATGTATAGTCCCAAATAATAGAGATGTTAACTATAGGACTAGAGAAGCTCAAATATATTATAGGTAAACCTAATCCATCAAAAAAAATTAAGGCTAACTATACAAAATGGTATGCAGAGAATCAAAAGATTAAGGGTTGGTTATTGACTTCTATCTCAATAGAGATAATGAAACGTTATCTATGATTATATACCATAAAGGATATGTAGTGCTCTTTTTAAAGAACTCTATGATAGATCAAATGAGACACAACTTTATACACTAATTAGCATGCCTTCACCTTAAATTTTTCAAGAATTAGATTATTACAATGAGCTTGTCAAGATTTTCTAAGAATTACATTATCATGATTAAGTTATCATAAAGGATCTTGATGATGTTGTCACCTATAAAAAATATGTTATATTGTTAAGAGTGCATATCTTTGTTAGTGGTTTGGATGCAAAATTAGAATATATTAGAGGTGAGGTTCTTCGAAAGGACCTTTCTATAGACCTTGATAACACCTATGCCTGTATACGTCAAAAGCTAGTTATTGGAGTGAAACACTTAATATTACATCTTATTTCATTAACCATATACCCTTTAGCTCATTAAATTTTCAAATTCCTTTTGAAGTCCTTCTGATGCATTAGAAAGCTAAAAACAACAATTAAATAAAAAATAAAAAATATTTTATGAGCATAAAGAATTGCAGATTTGAGCTCTAAATTCGCAAGTTTATTCTTTAAAATAATGATAATGAAGTATGCCTCCTAGAAGGTTTGCAAAGCCTTAAATATGCCAAAAAAATTATACATCAACTAGGAAATAAAAACTAAAATCCAAAATTATGAATGAAAGAAGCAAGAAAACTGAAAGAATAAAGAAATCTAAAAATAAAAAGAAAAATCACAAAAACTATCAAAACTAGAAGGGCTCAGCAAAATTTTTGATATCTAAAAATCTGACAATTAGAATAGGGATTTCATAGTCTTCTCTAAAAAAATGATCTTTGAAAACTCTTATAAAAAAATTGAAATTAATCTAACAGTCAAATAAAAAATTATAATTCTTTTGAGCTATTATTCTAATATAACATAACCATACCTTCTATTAACTTTTAATCTATCCCATCAGTTTATAAAGTATATATTATAGCATCCATATAATAATGAAGTTAAATGTATGAATGAATATTGAAGATAAATATATGAATGAATGATACAAAATTTTAACTAATTAAACAAGGACTAATCACCATCTTTTCTTCTTTTTTTTCATTAAACATTTAACAAGCCTACTATTGGTTCTCATTTCCATTTCATCCTAACAAAAAGTTCAAGTTATAAAAGAAGAATTATTTGCATTCATGTTTTTCACTGTTATTTTCTTCAGCAGCTTTATATGATCAACTCATGATTATATGGTTTTGAGGAATTTTAAAGAAAGAGAATACTAGCATATAGAGAGGAGATAGCAAATGATGTATCTGCAACTGTTTCAATCGTAAAATCCACTATGGATGAAAATGAGCTAATAATAGTTGGAAGATGACATCTCTTAAATAGTATGAGTACTCAGCAATTGTAAAGTCATGGAGGGATAAAAGGGGGAATTGCCCCCTTAATTTTTTTAATAATTTTTATATTAAAATATTAATATAATAATTTAGTGAATGGTTGATATAAAAAAGTTGTTATTGCAGCTCATTCCCTTTTATTTTTTTTTCTTACCCTAACTATGCAAATTTTTCTTTTGCTTTCCCTGCCTCTCTCCAATATATATGTCCAGCTCGAGCTTGTTCCTTGGCTCTCTCTAATATACAAAAAAAAAAAATAAGAATAGTTAAGTAATTAACTTTTTTGGTTTTTTGCTTTATACTTTATATAAATTTTTTTATCTTTTTTATTTGTTTTATTATCTATTTTTATTTTTATTTTTTTATAATTAGTTATTAAAAATATTAGGATTTATGATAATTTAAGAGTTTTGATATGAATATATTCAAAATGAATATTTAATCTACTAATTTAATCAATAAAATGTTTCTTTTTTTATTATAAATGAATAAATTAATATTCATGCAAAATCACTATTCTTGACATCTATTGCATTAGTAGAGCAATTTATCGAAATTTAATATTTTCACATGATTTGTTTATAGATAAAATATTAAATGGAAAGTATGTTTTTCAAGTATTGTTCCTTTTATATAGATACAATGCATTG